GTGTGACTGAACTGGAGGGTGGGAGATGGGAAAGAATTTCAGAAGAGAAGGAAGAGAGAAAGCAGTCAAGAGCAGGGCTTCAAACTGGTTTGAACTGGTTTAGTCATGGATGATGCAGCAAACCAGAAGAGACCCGAATTTGTAAAATGGGGGTGTACTGGACCAGGAAAATGTATGGGCCAAAGCCCTAGAATGGGAGACTCAGAAGAGGATTAGTCAGCCCTTTCAGGAGCCTGATGCAGGAGACTGGATTATTGCCAGGACTCTGAAGAGTGGCACACAATTCAAAGCGGCGTAATCTTTGGCACTATCTTTGAGCTGGACAGTGTTGTTTCTCTCTCCGCAAGTCAAGGACTTTGTTTGCTATGCAATGCATGCACGATGTCCTTGTGTTCTAAGAGGGAGATTAAGTTTCTAGCAGGGCATTTGTCTATAATTTTTTCTGTTTCAATTATCGTAGAACAATGTTTTTTTGTGTACTGTGTTGTGCCAATGAGTTTGATGTTTTGTATCCTTTTTCTGTAATAAGTGATAACCATGGGTATAATGGGGAGCTCTGGTAGCATAGTGCCTAAGGCACTTGACTGCTAACCAGAAGGCTGGTGGTTCAAACCCACCAGTCACTCCTCGGGAGGAAGTTGGGCAATCTACTTCTGTAGTGATACCGCGTCAGAAACCCAAGGAGGGGTCTCTATGAGTCGGGGCCAACTCGACGGCACATAACAACAATAACAACATGAGTATAATGACTCTTATATGTATTGAGTCCATGTTTTGAACCACCAAACCTGAGAGAGGTCTTGGGGACCCCTGATACACTCCTTCAACTTTTTTTGTTTCCTTTTCAGTATCCTCACCTCTAAACTTTGAGTATCGCAGGTATACCATTATGAATGTATTAACATTCATCTATATACATCTACAATCCCTTAGTGTTCTTATCCACCATTCTTATTACCTCCTGCTCTTTTATTATTAATGTTAATTATGTTAATTCATATTATAATACATATCATATTAATAATGCCATTGATCACCATTTCAGGCTGCAGGGTTCACTAGATTTATTTTATCTTTTATTCTCTGAATTCATTATTTTGAAATTCTTTGAATAGGAAGATTGCAGATAAGGTAAGGATACTTAAGATTATATATATATATATATACATATATATATATATATATCTCCTTATACTTAAGGATACTTAAGATACTTAAGGATACTTAAGATACTCCTGTTACTAGAAATTATGTAATATAGTTTTTAAAAGTTTATTGTTTTTCATGCTTGTTCTGGAAATTTTGAAGAGAAAGAATTATATAGAAGAACAAAATTATATATAGTATTGTAATTTAAAAATGATATCATAAAGAAATGAATATCAGAATTTTATGTTGCAGAAAAGTTCTAAAGTTTAGACAAAGCTAAACATATCTATTAATGTAAATGTTTTGGAAAATAGATAAAATGAAATTATTGATTTTTTAACTTTTTTAGTTCTTTTAATTATAATTTTTAAAGCATATTTATTCACAAGTTTATCTTATTACAAGCCAAGTCCCAGGCACGTTTCTGCCTCTACTCCTCAGTTTGTGCAAGTTGAATGAATCTTTTGTACTAGTACTTGTTCAATAGCTAACGTTCGAAGACAATGCTCTCCCCAGTTAAAATAGTCACATTTTTTCACAAGTTACCTGCTTAAGTAAAGGCCTATTATTATTTCCTCCAATTTGATTATTTTTACCTAATGCCTGCTCATGATAACATAATAATTAAAAGAGAAACTTTTTGTGGTAATTTGCTTTATGAGCAGTGTCCATTATGAGTGCTGTATTAAAAGATAAATGAATTAAAAAATTATATACTTTCATTTTCAACACTTTATTTAACTATAACAACTATATAAACCAAATACTTTCAGTTGTAGTCCTGATATGTTAACTATCTTGTTGTTGTTGTTACTTGCCATCAAGTTGGACCCCACTCATAGTGACCCCTCCTGGGGTTTCCAAGGCAGTATCACTACAGAAGTAGATTGCCCAACCTTCCTTCCAAGGAGTGGCTGGTGGGTTTGAACCTCCAGCCTTCTGGTTAGCAGTCAAGTACCTTAGACACTATGCTACCAGAGCTCCTGTTAACTATCTTAGGGTGACTGTTATACTTGGTGAAGTGACATCACTTTAAATAAGCCTAAAATGTCACTAATGCTTTACTTGCCACGGGAACCATCAGAAGATAACTGGTGAATAAGTAAGTTTCACTACATTTCTTAGCTTATTAAGTCAGTTAAGATTCCATTGTTAATATATAGTTAAAACAAATAGAATGTTTAAATTTTTCCATACAGTTCTTAATTTCATTTCTATGACCTGTCACTAGTCCCATAAAATGTTAGTACTGGATGAAAAAGGAGCTCTGGGAGCATAGTGCCTAAGGCACTTGACTGCTAACCGGAAGGCTGGTGGTTCAAACCCACCAGCCACTCCTCGGAAGGAAGGTTGGGCAATCTACTTCCGCAGTGATACCACCTCTGAAACCCCAGGAGGGGTCACTATGAGTCGGGTCTGACTTGATGGCATGTAAGGAGAACAACAACACTGGATGACAAAAATAAAAATTAAAAAGTTAATATTTTCTGTTGACTAAACCTTAGATTAATAAAATTATAAATATTTCTGAGGCCATCATATGTTGTTACTTAACTGATAAGAGAATTATTACAAATAATTCATAGTAAAAAGGAAATACTCTTGATAAATAAAATTGAATTTAGTATGAAAAGTAGTTTCATACTAAATCACATTTACCTTCTTTTTCTTCCACATAAACTCACCAAGTAGAATAGAGGAGAGGTAGTAAAAGCCACTTTTCTGAGAATGGTGAACTGCTTGGTTTTTCCTTGTGTGTGTGGAAAAGGAGAGCTTGTAGGGGAGGCATCACCCTCACAACATTGTTCTCTTCTTCATGACGCAATAAAGCATCCATTGTGACCTGTGTAACTACAGATATGTAATGTTTTGTTAGTTATCATTCTTCCTCTTTCTGTGCAATCAAACCAGTAACAGCAGAAGTGAAATATTAAGAATAATATATTCTTTTCTCCCTTTCTCTTCATTCCTTCCTCTTGCTCAGGTATTCATTCATATATATTCATTCTCTCATTTATTCACTGAACATTTCTTGAATCCAAATTGTGTGCCAGGCATTATAAAATTGAATAAATCTTGGACCTTGTCTTCATGGATTTTATAGTTTACTTTCATAAGTGATAACTCCTTTTTGAATGTGAAAATGAAATTGTTTCTCTCCTTAGGCTTAAATTTTGTAACTTTAAACTATGGTTTAGAGTCCTTTGTAAAAAAAAAAAAAATATCTTTTCTTGGATAATATAAAATTCCAAGCATATGCAATGCTTTGGATTCTTTTGGAATGGAATTGGGAACATGAATAAGAAGAGTCCTTAAGGAATCTTCCCTTATCTTCCATTATCAAGGAGTTAAACAGGCCAAAAGTATTTATCAAAAGAATTCCATAATGCTTATGGTGGGAAGGGGAGCCCTGGTGGCACAGTGGTTAAGCACTTGGCTGCTAACTGAAAGGTCAGAAGTTTAAACCAACCGGCCACTCTACAGGAAAAAGATGTGGCAGTCTGCTTTTGTAAAGATTTCAACCTTGGAAATTCTATGGGGTAGTTCTACTCTGTCATATAGGATTGCTATGAGTCAGAATTGACTTGATGGGAGTGTTATTTTTTCTTGGTATGGTTGGATGTGTAATTTTATATTCCAGAAAAAAATCAATAGAAATTCATATATTTTTACATTACTTTGGCCTTTTCCCTCTGAAATATTTCAGTGATGCAATAAAGCAATGATATGTCACATTCATGATAAGTTACCATCATTTAACTGCATTGTGAGGAATAGGGCACAAAAATGGTGATATAAGTGGCAATTCATAAACTGTAGTCAGTTATTAGATCTGTAGTCTTTTTAGCTAGACCTCTAAAGAAATTATTTAGAAATGATAATTTATTATACTGCAGTATTATACAGTAGGACTAAACAGAGGGAGGAGGAGATGTCAGAAATCAAAAAAGAATACTCATCTGTTATCTGTGCTTTTTGACATAATGTTATTAAAACTATTTTAAAAGTATGTAATTTGATTTTAACAGCTTTATTGAGGTATAATCTAAATACCATAAAGTTTACCCACTTAGGATGTGTACATGTCAGTGGTTTGTGGTATATTATAGTTATACAACTATCATCATGATTTAGTTTTAAGACATTTTTATAACCCCAAAATGTAATTTGACTTTTGAACTCTATGTAAGGAAACACTACTTAAAATTGAATGAATTAAATGAATGAACATTAATCTATATGAAATGGGAATTGGTCATTTAATTAAATTGAAAGATTTTTGGAAATTCCAGTCTAAGCCACTCATGGCCCTAATAATTTATCCTCAGAAACATGTTATAACAAAGATATTTTTGTATACTAAAAAATCTTGTTAACTAATTTTCCCAGACTGAAAAACAAACACATTAAAATTGTTGTAGGTATTTGCCAAAATTACAGTAAAATTAAGTGAACAGGTAAAAGGTGATCAGGTTTTCTCTATTTTAATTTTATTGTCCTTAAAAAGCTAGAGGAAGAGCAATATAGAATCATCTACCTAAGGTGGAAAAGTAAATATATTTAAGTATCTGCTTATAAATTCATAAAATATCTGTGGAAGGAAACATAAGAAACAGTAATATTGGTTGTCTCTAGTTAGGAGAACTGGCTGGCTGGGGTCCATGAGTAGTAGAGATAATGCTCAGCTAACTGACTATATTATCTTTTGAAGCATTTTAAATAAAAATTTATTATCCTGATCTTAGAATCAGCATTACTGAGTTCCTTCCTATTGTGCTTTATTCCAGGATGTAGAACTCTATTATTGGTTTGAAATGAACCATATTACTTAAAATGTTGTTTTCTTTTAGGAATTGATTATGGATTAAGTTTACCACTTGGAGAAGACTATGAACGGAAGAAACATAAACTAAAAGAAGAATTGCGGCAAGATTATAGACGCTATCTTACTCAGGTAATGAGTTCTAGGTATTAGTTGGGTTTTATGTTTCAGAATTTTTTGCCTAAATTTGTTTTCCTAAGGTTGTAGTCATATGCATTAATTTTCAGGCTTTCAGTGGTGTCTAGCAAAGGGGTATTACAGTTTTGAACTTTGAGTGTTACAGTCAAAATTAAGTATCATAACACATATGATGTAAGTGACATTGATAAGAGATAACCCATTCTGTGAACTGGTACCATAGAATAAAACAGACTGAACCTTTGGAGTAGGACAGTGAGATTTTAAATTCTAGTTGTTCATATTTTCTGTAAAGTTGTTGTTGTTGTTGTTATTTGCCATTGAGTCAGACCCGACTCATAGTGACCCCTTCTTGGGTTTCCGAGGCAGTATCACTATGGAAGTAGATTGCCCCATCTTCCTTCCAAGGAGTGGCTGGTGGGTTTGAACAACCAGCCTTCTGGTTAGCAGTCAAGTGCCTTGGGCACTACGCTACCAGAGCTCCCTCTATAAAGTTATCATGGCTTAAATAGCCCAGTTGTTCACCATTCTTCTGCCCCAGCCTCCCCAAACCATGGATTAAAATGACACATGGAATTATAGTTGCTAATTATTTGTGATGAAATAAACTTATAAAATGGCATTTAACATATTCATTTAATTTCCAAAGTTATTTGCTTAGTGATTTAATCTGTTTTTCTTAGCAAAATGCATTTTATTTTGTTAAATTATGTAATAACTAAACAAAGTTTGTTGTAAACTTTAAAATAGTTTAATTTTTATTTTATAAAGTTGTTGTAAACAATCAAGATGTTTCTAGCCATCCCAAGTTATTCTTTAGTTTTTCACTACTTTAAACTCTATTTTAAATGTATAAATGGTTTGTTTTTATTCTGATTTGCACATGAGGAGAAAGGACTTTTACTGAATACATTTTATCAATGGTTTGTTCCCCCCTTGAATTTAGGGTATCACACAAGCAAAAAGAAAGGTAGGGTTGTCTGTGAAATGTTGTTCTTTAGTTTTGTTTTAGTTCTACTAGCTTGCAATTTCTTTTATTAATCAGATTGCTGCTCTCAAACCAATTAAAAAAATAGCTTCATTTGTGATTTTGAGATTTCCAGTGCTACAATTTCCTATTCTTGCAAGATGACAGTCTATCCATTATGATTTTCCATTAATACAATCAAGCATCCTTTTTGATTCCTGCTTTGTATTTGTTTTGTTGCTCTCTTATCCATTCCTTAAATATTTTGTAGCTATTGTAAATCCACTCGTTTTCAGCATGCCAGTTTTTCCTTCTTCACATTATGCTACTTACATTAAGATTAATAGGATACTAGAATATTCAAGATATTCTAAGATGTTTTGGCCTGTGTGTTGTCAGGATTTGGATTACCTGATCCTTTTGCACTGAAACATATGGGATGCATTTGTAAATTTATATTGAGAACCAACAAGAAACAGTTTTAGAGTTTTATAAAAACCGTTTTTTTAAAAAACTCCCACATCCATCATTCAACCAGCACCTCTTAAGTTCTTAAGAAGATGAATCAGATGTGGATTCTGCCTTTATGGGGCCTAGAATCCAGTTGTAGAGATAAGATTCATACAATTTAGAAATTGATAACTAAGACAAAAAGGATATAATGATCAGGAAAGACCTCGTAGTGAGAGGTGTTTTTTTTTTTTTTGAAAGGCATTACTAGATAACTAGAATTTGGGTATTCTAGTGGGAAAGGCAAAGTGAGAAAGCTTTTCAGATGGAGACTATAAAATAGAGGACTTAGAGATGGACTTTAGCTCTGTGTGAATGAGGCATGTCAGGAATACTGGCCTGACTGACTTAGAGTAAGATTCTTTTTGAGTGCAGTAAGAAATAAACAATCCTCATAACTGGACCAATAAGCATCATGATAAATGGAGAAAATTGTCAAGGATTTTATTTTACTTGGATCCATAATCAATGCCTATGGAAGTAACAGTCAGGAAATCAAATGATATATTTGTTCTGGTTACCTAGTGCCGCTCTGACAAGAATATACCACAAATGGGTTGGTCTTAACAAACAGGAGTTTATTTTTTTACAGTTTGGAGGCTTTAAGTCCAAGTTCAAAATGCCTGGCTGTAGGGGCTGTGTGAAAGCCCCTCAACCTTGGCCTTCAGCTTTGCCTCTTGCTCCCAGCCCACTGAAGCTAGAGACAGCTCTTCACTCAGGCAGCTACTGGCTGCTGAGGCTAACAAGCCCAAGTTCAACAAATAAAAAGGCACAGTCCTGACATTATCAAACCACATGGCAGGCCATTAATTCAAGTCCATTGTAAGTCGCAAGGTCGGCAGAGCATGGCAGGCTGCTGAACAACAACATGGCTGCATGCAGGGTCCAAGCATGCCATAAACTCGAGATCATTCCCCAAGGCTTCTGCTTATATACAGGAAGCAGAGCACATTCCCAAAGGCAGCTAGTCAGCTGTTTGTGGTAGATCCCAACGTGGAGTTGATTGCCAGTCTCATCATGGGGAATAACGACCATCAGCTGCCCAGCCACTCAACCAAGCCCAGCCAAGTTGACATACAAACTGAAAGACCACAATATTGCATTGGGCAAATCTGTTGCAAAAGATCTCCTTAAAGTGATCAAAAGCAAAGTTGTCACTTTGAGGACTAAGATGTGCCTGTCCTAAGACATGGCATTTTCAGCCTCCTCATGTTCATTTGAAAGCTGGACAATGAATGGCAGACAGAAGAAGAATTGATGCATTTGAATTATGGTGTTGGCAAAGAAGATAGGATGGTGAGACTTTATCTCATATACTTTGGGCTTGTTACAAGGAGGGACCAGTCCCTGGAGAATACCATGATTGGTAAAGTAGGTCTGCGAGAAAGGGGAAGAGTCTCAATGAGATGGATTAACACAGTACCTGCAATGATGGACACGAACATAGCAATCGTTGTGAAGATGGGGCAGTGTTTTATTCTTTTGTGCAAAGGGTTGCTATGAGTTGGAACCAAATTGACGGCACCTAACAATAACAACAATGAAATTTAACTTAAATGTCATTACTTCTGGAAGAATTCTTAATCTGACTCTACTAATTTAGATTAATTGGATGTCTTCCCTGACATAATTTTATAGCACCCTGTGTTTAACTCTGTCATGTGGTCTCATGTACTACTGAATTAGGGCAGGAATGTTGTTGGCACTCAGTAAGAGTTAGCTGATTTAATGAATGTCCTTTTTCACATATTTGTTATCTTTCATTCTTTTCAGAATGGTGGTGGGATCTGTTTTGGTTACTTCGTGCCATTCTAACAGAAATACCACAGGTGGATGCCTTTAACAAAGAAGAGTTTATTCTCTTACAATTTGGGAGGCTAGAAGTCCAGGTTCAAAGTGCCAGCTCTAGGTGCTGAGTAGAAACCCCTCAACCTTGGGCTCTAGCTCTGCCTCTTGCTCCTGGCCCACTGGAGCTAGAAGTATCTTTTCACTCAGGCAGTTGCTGGCTGCTGAGGCTGACCAACCCAAAGTTGACAAGTGAAAAGGGCACAGTCCCGACGTTACCAAACAACACTATTTCAAGTCCAGAGACAGTCCCAAGATTAGCAGGAAACATGGCAGGCTGCTGGCTAAAGACTCAGCTACATGCAGGGTCCAAGCATGCCAAAAGCTGCAGACTATTCACAAAGCTTCTCCTTATATACTGGAAGTAGACCACATCCCTAAAGCAGCTATTCAGCTGCTTGCCGCAGATTACGCCATGGAGTTGAGAGCCAGTCTCATCGTGGAGAATAACGCCCAGCCACTCAAAATCAGGCCCAGCCAAGTTGACATATAACCTTAACTACCACAGGATCCATAGAAGAAATTGTTTTTATGAAAGATAAAGAAATCAAGGAGCACTAGTCTTAAAATTCAAAGGGACATAAAGGAATTGTTTTGGTGTTGGGTTATCAAGAATGTAGTTGCAGCACAGGAATTAAGAATTATTAGAGACATTTACAGTACAGTGAATATTGGGGAAAACGTTTATCTTGAGGGTTTTTTTTTCAGATTTCTTAGATGTTTTTTAAATAAAAAATCTTATTTTCTTTTGCAGAAAATTTATTAAAATTGCTGTAAGTCCTATATTTAGGATAATAGGTAAGAAACTTCAGAAGGTCAGGGAAAAAGACAGTCTTTGGTTGTCCTCTGAGAAGGCTAGAGTAGAAAGGAAAGCCAGGGAAAAAATTAAACAACCTAGGGTATGAGGAGATGGTTGTAACGGCTTCCTTGACCTCTGGAATGTGTATGGTTTCTAAGTCCTATTCCTTCTGGATTGCTTATGGTTTCCAGACATATAGATTACATGAATACTTAAATTTAAAAAATCTAGTCTTTAAATTTTGCCAAGAAGAGCTATTAAAGCAAACAAACAAACAAGTACTGTTTTCTTTTTAGCTTTTAGAATAAAAGACATATGACCATTTAAAAACACAAGAAAGGCATATTCTCAGACACAAGAACAGTTTTTAAATTAAAGCAATAAAGTTATATCTCTAGCCCAGAACTCTCTCCTGAACTTCACACTTTTCTATCTGGGTGCATACTTGACATCTTCACTTGGTAATCTAATATGCATCTTAAGTTGAACATACCCATAAAGGAATAACTGATTTCCATTCTTCTTACCCTCATCCCATAGAAACCTGTGCTACCTATAGCCTTTTCTTGTTATTTTTTATCATAGCACTTACCACCTTTTAATATAACATACAATTCCTATTCATTATGTTTATTGTTTGTTGTCAGTTTCTCCCTGTTTGAATGTAAGCCTTATTAGAGCAAGGCTGTTTGTCTGTTTTCTTCACTAATGAGTCCCAAGATAGTGAACAGTTGGGGCAAAAGACAGGTCCTTGAAAATACTGATGCATATGGATAAAATTAAGCAAGCTTTTCAAAAGCTTACTCTGTTTTTCTTATTATGTATTTCATTTCATTGACCATTATAAACATCATCTTGGACTTGTATTGGTGGTAGGGGAAATTGCCCAGTAAAGGAGTGAAGGTGTTATATCCCTGTCTTCACAAGGTTAGAACTCACCGTATATGTATAATGCTACAAAATGATAAGATTTATAATGTACTTCAGGTACCTAAGAGTGACTTAGACATTTAGACATGTCATGTATTTTTTAATTGACAAATAAATTTAGAGTTCCATACAACCAACTTTCAAATTAGCTTTTGACACACAATCTATTTGTACATTCAGATTTAATAAAATTTATTAATTGTTTAATTTCATTAGTCACTCTGTTCCCATAGTATTTCATTTTATTTTTTTTAAATTGTGATTTGGGTGAAAATTTACAGAGCAAATTCACTTTCCTTACAGCAGTTCACATACACTTCCTCCCAGAAGTAACCTCCTCCCTGTGTCCTCCCTCCATGCATTCCTGCCCCCTAAGCTGTCTCTATGTGTATAAACAGCCCTTCTTTCTCCCTTGATTGTTCTTTCCAAGGAGTGTATCTATCTCAGGTAAATGTTCAACTCATATGCCTGTCATTTGTTTGGCTGGAAGCCACAGGTATGGGTTCAATTCCAGACCTGAAGGGCAGCTAGGGGCCATAGTCTTAGTGGTTCCACCAGGCCCCATCAGACCAGCAAACCTGGTCCCCTCTTTTTTTTTTCTCCTAATGATTTTGAGTTTTGTTCCACATTGTTCTCCCTCTCTATCAAGGATCTCCTACATAGATCCCATTCCGAGTGGTTGACAGTGGTAGCCAGGCACCATCTAGTTCTTCTGGTCTCATAGTCATATAGGCTGAGGATTGCATGGTGTACCAGTCGCTAGGACTAATTGTTTCCATGAATTTTTGTTTTCTGCATTCCTCTTTGCTCTGGACAAGGAGAGACCCATCGTTGCATCTAGATGGCTGCTTGCAAGCTGCTTGCAAGCTTTTAAGATCCCAGTTGCTACTCACCAGAGTAGGAGGTGGAACAATGTTTTGTGTAGTATGTTATGCCAATTGAGATTGATGTCCCCTGTGACTATGGTCCCTAGCCCACCAGTTCAACTACTTGGTCCCTCTGGGTAGCTGGCTGTGACCAAGAAGTGACTACAACTTTGCCCCGTGTCAGTTCTACTATACACCTATGTTCCCATAGTATTTTAAATATAAATCTATTGTAGCAATTAGCACCCAACAGTGTGGTTATTTATTTACATGCCTATTTCCTCAACTGAACTGTAAATCTCTTGAGTATAGGGGATATATTCTTCTCTTTGTATGGGGCAGTGGTGGTGAAGTGTAGAATTATCGCCTTCTATGTGGGGCACCTGGGTTTGATTCTTGGCCATTACACCTCAAATGCAACCACAACTCATCTGTCATTGGAGGCTCATATATTACTATGATGTTGAACAGGCTTCAGCAAAACTTCTATTCTAAAAAGACTAGGAAGAAGGACCCAGTGATTTATTTCCAAACAATCAGCCAGTGAAGCTCTATGGATCACAACAATCTGACCCTGTCATGCATGAGATTGCCATGAGTTGGGTGCCACCTAAATGGCAACTAATAACAATTCCTCATTTAATGAATGAATGAATAAATAAAAGACATGAAGCAAGACATTTTAATAAGTATTTATTGCTTTAATTCTCATAATCTAGTAAAGATGACATTATCCCTGTTTTACGGATGAAGAATGCCAGGCAGAGAATCTAAATAATTTATGCACTTTATATGACTACTAAGTAGCAGTGCCAAAAAGTTGGGGAGTATGTGTGTTTTTTTTTAAACTAATCTCTTGTGTTTATTCTAGAATTTATATTGTGTGTCTTTGATCATTATAACAGTTTTGATAGGTAGACAGAAGAGGAAAGTTTGTGTCTAAAGGGTTAAATGACTTACACAACTGACAAGTACTGGAGCTAGAAGTAAAGTCAATCTTTTGATTCCTGGCTGCTGACAGTATTTACTACACTGTATTATCTCAATGTCTAACGAATAAGAATGGGACGACATGTAAAGAAACAGCATTCATAATTTATATTTTCTGGCATCTGAGTAGATAGTAATCACAGGAAATACAGAGAAAAAGTTACTGTGGCATACATAAGGATATTTGTGAGGAAGTTTAATTTGTTTTAAGACTCAGAACAGTATAAGGGCACTGAGAATGAAGTAGAATATGTGCTTAGAAGAAGAATATGTTAAGAAACAGTTTCTTTTTTTTCCCCATGCATTTGATCATCTTGAATCGATAAATCCATATGAATTGCCAATGAAAATTAAGGCCTATTTCTCCCCTTCAGGGAGTTGCTGATTGGGAGAAAATTGTCTTTTTTCCTGGGTTTTGAACCAGTTTAAACCAGTTCAGTCTTGGCTGATGATGCAAAATTGGAGTAGATCTGAGTTTTTAAAATTTGGGTGAAGCAGAGTGATAATCAGAATGAGAAAAATTACAGGTTGAAGCCCTGGAATGCTAGACTTGGATGAGACATAGTGAGCCTTTTCAGGAACCTAATGCAGGAGACAGGATTTTTGCCAGGAGTGTGGAGAGAGACAGGCATTCAAAGTGGCCTCCATCTTCGAGCTGGTCACCATTGTTTCCAATTCTGTTGATGAAGAGATTTGGTTGCTATGCAATGCACATGCTGCCCTTGTTTTCTAAAAGGGAGATTAAGTTTCTAGCAAGGCATCAACTCATAATTTTTCCTATTATGGTTGGCATTTCAGTACATCTATATTTCACAAATTTGGGTCCATTCTGGTTTTGCTTAGCTGGCCATAGCTGAACCAGGAAGAACTGGTTCAAAGCCCTGCTTTTTCTAATACTTTGGATTTGATTTCTATAGGTTAGGAGTTTCTGTCTCCATCTCCATCCTATTCTTTTGCTTTGTACAATGTAATAGTTTAGAATATATAATGTAAAAAGAAACGTTTATGAAACACATTTTATGAAGATAATTAGGCAATATTTTTTTCTTAATTTGTATATATACAGAAAAATTTTCTGTCTTCGGGTGAAACAGATCCATCCACTCTGGGAGTTTCTCTTCCTATTGGTGAGAGGTTATCTGCGAAGGTAGGTTGTTAGAGTAGTTTCTGTAGCAGTTTTCTGAGGCATCAAAATCATAAGAGAAAATATTCCTGATTAAAATGCAAACAGAAGCTAACATCATTTCCTCATACTTGAGTGTATTTCTTTCTAAAAAATCTGAGGTCTCTTTGCTGTTAAAAAAAAAAAATGGAACATTATTTTTGTAACCAAAAGTAAGAAATTGAATTAAGAATGGAAGAATTATTAAAAAAAAATTAGTGAAGAAGTGGGAATTTCCAATAAAAATAATTTGATAAACATATTTCTTTAATACGCTGATTCTTTTGCTATATTCTGCTATATTTAATTGAATATTCAGAATTCACTTTTCTCAGCACTGTTTTCTGAGCTATAAAGTTTATGACACATTTATCAGTTTGATGAGTAGATGTGAGAGTATACTGAGCTTTTTATGTCAGGTGAGGGTCTGGGGCTATCTGAATGTGTGTTTCTATCACTCCACAATACATGTTCACACCCTCTAGAGGTGGTAGTGGTAAAGTACAATACACCTCTTACAGAGAACCAATTCCCTAGTAGATGAGAGATCATGAAATAGTATATAAGACAGAATGGACAGTTACTAAGTTTTAAAAGACAGAAAATAATTTCTTTACTACTTTTTTGATTGTATTATTTCAATGACATTGTTGACTTTAGTCCTTAAGAACATATTCTAATGTTATATATTTGCAGGAGCTATGGTAGTGTACTGCCTAAGGCACTTGACTGCTAACCAGAAGGCTGGCAGTTCAAATCCACCAGCCACTCCTCGGAAGGCAGGTTAGGCAACCTACTTCCATAGTGATCCTGCCTCGGAAACCCAAGGACGGGTCGCTATGAGTCAGATCCGACTCAATGGCACATAACAACAACAGTATATTTGTGTTTCAGCAGAACATTTCCATCATACTATTTTAGTGTTTTTGACAGTTTGACCTTTTCATGTTTAAAATATAATGATACTTCTTTAACATTGGGAAGGAAATGATTAGCAGCAAGCTTGCAATCTGTTCTCTCCTTTTTAGGAGTGCGATGGGAGATGAGTGCCAGGATATGTCCTTAAGAAAGAAGAAAGGTCACAGGCTCAAATGTTGTAAACATGCTAATGATAGGCTTCCTAGCAAACACATTATTTGTATTTGCTAGTGGGAGATATTTATCTGAGCAGTAGTATTTATAGGATGTATCTGGTTTGTCTAGGTTTGTTTATGGTAAATAAATTCAGAATCCATAGATTGATAGGTCATGGTTCCTTGGAAAATGTCATCTAAGCTATGAACTATTGGTGTATAAAGCAGAGATGATTCACAATTGAAATAGTTCTTTTCTCTTAGAGACCTCATGCGTTAAGGTAGACGGAAGTGTATAGTGATGTGTATTGTAATGTGGCAAGAAAGGACTTGGGCATCAGCATTGGTGGTCTTAGACCTCTTTCTGCTTTTCCCTTCCTTGTAATTACTTCTGTCCTTGAAGTTAGTAAATAGTAAATAAAATAAGTAAATAGTAAAGCTTGATACTGGGTAAGATCTCTGATTTGTATGAGTCTAATTTGACATTCTGATTGGACTATAAGGTTCTTTTTCCTGAAGATGAAGGTAACATTGCCTTTTGATTTCTATTTTAAGGAAAGATTGAAGCTTGAACGTAACAAAGAATATAATCAGTTTCTCAGGGGTAAAGAAGAATCCAATGAAAAATGCAGACAGGTAGAAAAGAGTACTGAGGTAAGTTTGTTCTTAAAGTAAAACTTTTAGTACCACAAGCTTAATACCTTATACTCACTTGTAATTTTTTATTATCTATTTTAGATGTTTCTTTTGGTTTTTATGTAAATAGAAAAAATTAAGCCAAATTAAATACAGGACATTTAAATATTCAATTTTGGAGCTGTTTTATCTCATATTGAAGTATTTATTCTACTTTTTAGCTTTATGGAGAAGATTTCATTTTAGAAGTTGATTTTATTAAGTGATTTTTATTTATTTATTTAAATTAATAATTTCTAGTTATATTTTTTCCCCCAACTTAAAAGTGATTAATGTTACTAGGACCAAAAAATTTGCTATGTTCTGTACCCTTTTTGTTGATAAGGAATTTAATTTGAAATATTTTAAAACAATATTCAATTACCAAAATATGTCTAATTTTGGATAAATTTGGGATGGGAATTTACATTCAGTTTATCCTGTCTTTTTATAGTTACTTATCCATTTGCTTGTTTATTTGATATTAAGTTTTATTAAAGAATGAAATCTCCTTAGAAGTTTTTTCTAAAGATAAAATTTTTCTTATGGCTGATTAAATACCAAAGTGGACATGATAAATAGACTAAGCATCATTTGAGCGTATAAATACCTTTTGAAGAAGAGTATCTCATTCAGATTTTTTTTCTTTTTTTTTAACTGAATAGCCTAAGAGTGAAATAAATAAAAAATCTGTTTCTCAAGTTAAGCCTGATTTACCTTCACAAATACAAGCATCCTATAAAAATTCAGAAGGACCCAGGAGAGATGTTTTAACTCCTTCAGAGGCATATGAAGAGCTTCTACACCAAAGGCGACTAGAGGAGGACAGATATCGACAACTAGATGGTGAAATTGAATTAAGGAATGGAAGAATTATTAAAAAAACTGATGAAGAACTGGGAATTTCCAATAAAAAACATCAAAGGTTTACCAACAAGGCTGATATTCCGGATAGAAGATTTCGCAGGTTGAATGAGGATCGTGTTTCTGATAGACAGTGTTATAGAGCAGGCCATGATCCTGAAGTAAGTGAAGAAATGGACGAGAGGTTTAGATATGAAAGTGATTTTGATAGAAGACCTTTGAGAGTGTATGCAAATGACAGGTATTTTCTTCATTTATTTTTCTTTTGTTTAATTTTGCTGTTGTTACTTTTTGTAATTATATCAGGGAGAGATGATTCCATTTTCTTTACTATGTTTGATTAATTGTTAGATGCTATCAATTTAAAGATACAACATTATTTTATATGGGACTGAGGGCGAAGGAAAAAAAACACTCAAGATGGTAGCCTAAAAGGGTTTCAGTGTCCTGTTAAAAAACTGGAACACCGAAAGGCTACTTTTTTTGTATAAAAGTAAATGAGAAACAAACCTTCCCACAGAAAAGAAACTTTTCATGTCTCAGTGTTGGCCCTGGGTTGGGGTGGCAGTTAAAAAACAAAAACATAAAACAAACTTCTCTGAGAATTTGAACATAAGCCAGTACTATTCAGGTTCGCAGGGTGAGTTCACGCTACCAGTAGGGCTCAAAAAAACCAAAAACCAAAAACACAAACTTGAAATGAGAAGTCAGAGTTTTCAGAAATTAATAGTGTCCCTGGCAGGAGAAAAATAAATCTCTGTAAGAACTCCATTTAAACCCCAGTTAACAATCATCAATTTCAGAAAATTTACAGGGGGAGGGAGAATTCAGGATAGTTGAAATATAGTTTATTCTTTTAATGTTTAGACATTCTAAGTACCTTTACAAAATGTTTGTTAACTTTTAAGTTCTTGAAAATCTTATTTAACTGAAATAGCCTTAAGTTTTTTTTTTTTTAAATCAAATTTTCAGATGCTTTTAGTTTCTCTGGATGATGGTTTTTGTGTCACTATTTATAATTTCTTAAGTGCTGCAGTTGGATCTTATTAAGTCATATTTATCTTAAAAGTTGCAATATTTTTAATGTAATTTGATTTGGCACTAGAAATGTAGCAGGGTCCCATTTCTATCATTGACATGTTAACTTGAAAGGTTTAAATCTAAGTTTTGAGAACTTTATAGGATCTGTTTCATTTATTAGTCCAAATAGATTTTTTTTTGTAGTATTTTACAAAGTTTTATGAGGAGTAATGCTGCACATTCAGTGTTCTAATGATTAACTACAATAGAAAGGCTTTACGATTCTTGGTCTTCACCTCTTTATGCTGCAGTTTTCAATTCTGCTCACCCAGTCTTTTCAGTTAATCACCATGATGTAGGTAATATGTGTGAAGGATTAAAATTTTGAAATGCCAATTCTGGTTTCTCTGATCTAAATCTAATTGTACTCAGAAATTACTCCAAATCCTAGAATGTGTTCTAGTTGAGAATGATTATATGTGAAGATAGTCAAAGGCTGCCTAAGCTAAAAGAACTATTAACTAGGAGAGTGCATGTTATCTTGAATGCTTGGTGATACCTTATTTGTACACCAGTTTATTTTATTTTTTTAAAATTATAGTGTCTATTTACCTTTAAAGTATAAAATAATGTATACTTTTTAAGTCTATAATTTTAGGAAACATAGTGGTTGTTGCTTTTTAAAATATATTTTAATATATTATTTTTATAATTTTACCTTGTGATAATTTTATATATGAACTAGCAAATGAATTTCATCTTTATAATGAGAACTATCTTATTTTCTTATATATCCCATAATAAGGGAAATGAATTTTTGCTGTATGATCTACTCCAAGTAGTGTTTAAAAAATAAACATGAGGATGAGTGAGGATAATTCTTGTTAGACATTTAAAAGTTTTTAGAAGTGTTTCTTCAAAACGTAGGTAAATATTATATGTTACTTTCATTTTGTTAATGCATATATTTTTACATCGTTTCACGTATGTTTCTGGCACTTAAGGTTAAAACTGAATTTCTAGATTTCAGATTTGTACATTCCTTATTTCTAGCAAACAAACAAAAGACTTCATTAGGTCATTTGAGTGTGGTCGGTGGGGAAAATGACTTGACCTTTTAGTGAAATTTTTGAAAGTAAAGAAATTGGCAAGTACTTTTGGTCTCTTGCTCTAGATGTTTCTTATTCTTAACATACTGTAGTCTTAACCAGAAGTTCTTGACAAGAAATAGTACAACTGATTAATTTTCCTTCATTCTTCAAAATTTCCCTCTTCTCCACTTTTCCCCCTTGAAATGTTAGTGTCTGTTAAATTCTAGTTTTGATTTGTAATAATTTTTTATTTTCATATTTTTATCTCTGTTCCTACCTAATTATCCTATAAATTTCTTCATATACCATAATTTACTTATTAATGAAATATTTTCCCCACTTTAGAGACAGGAAAGCTGAAGCCCAGGAATAATGAGTGATGTTACTTTCTTAAACTTGTTATCTTGAATCACTGGCAATGTTCTTAATGTGTAACAAGGTGGTTAGCACTGTGCTTGGCAGTTGTATTCTGAGTAAAAAGGAAAATGTTTTAGGAACTTTCTAAAGTTGAATATAATAGTATCTCTTATACTTTGAGGGGCTCTGGTGGCATAAGTGCCTAAGGCATTTGACTGTTTAGGAATTTATAGTCTTTTAAAAAATATAGTTTCCTTGATCTTTATTATTTATTAACTTCAGCTGTAGAAGTTAATATATTATCTTACTATGTTTTACTTTAACGTTAATCAGTAAAAGACATTCTTTTTGGTTTAAAAATGCTGTTTTTTCAGTTTCTCTGTGATTAATGTAGTGAGCACTTCCATTCTACTTTTGACATTTGCTAGTTTATGATCTTAAAGCCATTTAATAAACTCTGAAATAGCACTCCATCTGAAATTAGAATCTGTGTTATGTGCATGGAGTGAGGGCTTATGTAACATGGGATGCTCTCCTAAAAACTCTATGCTTAATCCATAGGACAGAAATGGGGAAAGATGGCTTATTAGAACATATTATTCAGTTTGCTGTTCCCTTGTTGTTCTAGTGGTGTAGTGCCTAAGGCATCTGACTGCTAACCAGAAGGCTGGCGGTTCAGACCCACCAGCCACTCCTTGGAAGGAAGGTTGGATAATCTACTTCCATAGTGATACTGCCTCAGAAACCCAAGGAGGGGTTGCTATGAGTCGGGTTCGACTCGATGGCAGTGAGTTTTGTTCTAGTTGTTGGTCAATTTTCATTTATCTTTGAAGAGCCATTTTAATAATAACTATTTTCCCCACTTTAAAAATGGTATTGTTAATAGAAAAACATCATCATTGACTTAAAGTTAATAAAATTGGGAAGGAATTGAAAACAATTAAGAGAAAATAGTTATCAGTAGTTAAATCCTCAGTGTTTTTTCTTTAACATCTATAGTGAGAGTATCCTTAATAGCAGAATTCATGTATAATTGAAAAATTCTTGATATGTAAACAAGGTGACATAACCTTATGAATTAGATAATTTAAGGAGAAATTTGATTCTTCCTCCCTGTGAGCTATATTAATAGAGGACTAACATATGGTAGGGAGTTCTGGTAGCATAGTGCCTAAGGCACTTGACTGCTAACCAGAAGGCTGGCGGTTCAAACCCACCAGCCACTCCTCGGAAGGAAGATGAGGCAATCTACTTCCGTAGTGATATTGCCTTGGAAAACCAAGGAGGGGTCGCTATGAGTCGGGTCCGACTCGACGGCATATAACAACAGCAACAACAAACATATGGTAGGGAGCTCTGGTGGCATAGTGCCTAAGGCATTTGATTGCTAACTAGAAGGCTGGCAGTTCAAACCCACCAGCCACCTCTCAGAAGGAAGACTGGGCAATATACTACTGTAGAGATCTGTCTCGGAAACCCAAGGAAGGGTCGCTATAAGTCTCAATCCACTCGAGGGTAGTGATCTGATAACATACGGTAAATATTTTATTTTTAGGATGTGTTATTGTTGATAGCATAAGCATTGTAAATTTATTTCTGAAATAGTTTGATTCTGTGGTTTATTAAGGAAAAAGGAGAACTTATTATCATTTAGGAGTTGTTTGCTCACATTTAAATTAACTGAAAATACCTGTAGTTTTAAATAATTTGCTTTACTTCTTTAATTGAGAAATTTTTAATAAGATTTTTACATGTACTGTTTTTTTTTAAGGTAAAGTTGGCCTGTCTGTACCTGTTTTTTTGGAGGGAGGCATTGAGAATTTTACCTAATCAACTAGACTTGTTGATCCATATCTTTGATGAAATAGAGAAGAAAAGGCTTTTACTGCTTAATGCATCTTTGTTGTTGTTGTTGTTATGTGCTGTCCAGTCGGACCTGACTCATAGACTTTACAGCTCATGACTTTAAAGCTTGGTAGCTTCACTTCTAGGTTTTTGTTGTTGTTGTTGTTGTTATGTGCCATCCAGTCAGACCCAACTCATAGCGACCCCTCCTTGGGTTTCCAAGGCAGTATCACTACAGCAGTAGATAGCCTAGTTTTCCTTCCAAGGAGTGGCTGGTGGGTTTGAACCGCCAGCCTTCTGGTTAGCAGTCAAGTGCCTTAGGCACTGCGCTAGGTATTTTGTCTTATATTATTTTGTAACAGATATGAGTAACATCCTATATTTATGCAATTTCTGTTTTAAACAGTAATTCTTTGATTTAACAAAGCAGTTCTATCAGTCATTTCATAAAATCAAATAAGATACCTTAAAATTTTATTTTATCTTTTTTAGTGAAATACATATTTCAGCTTTTTTTTTTAGCCTCTGCAGAAAGGGCAAGGAGGCCACATGTTCTGACCTCCTCTAATCCCACAAGAAGAAGACAGAATCACCATCAATAGCCCAAGGCCTATTCCTGTGAGGTCAGTCAGACATGCTGCCTCCCTCCAGCCCTTTCTCCAACTGTTCCTTCCAAAGCACCCACCACCTCTCTCCTGGGTTCGATAATTTGCTGCAGTGGCCACACAGAGCGCACAGATTATGGGGTTTATTAGGGTAGCACCACAGGCTACAATTCAAGTTCAGGAAAAATGCTCAGTCTCTCTCCCAGCCCACCGTCCCTCAG